TCTCTGGCAATGTTCCCTGAAATATTGACGGAGTGTGACTCCCCAGACATCCACTCCCATTTTCAATGCATCTTTGGCTCAAACTCACCATCCCTGGGTTGGGATGCCTCCCAGACCTCCTCCTTGACCCTCCCATCCCCCACCCGGCTTCTCCCCAGGCACCTCCTCCACATGGGGTCACCCAAGGGACCTCTCTAAGACCCATGCCTGGCCTGTCCTCTTTACCATCTCAAGATGGCTCCCAGGGCCAATGAGAAAGTCCAAGATGCAGCAGTCCATTCCCTCACTGCCCCCCCCACACACGGAACAGGGGCGTGAGAAGGCCCGAGTCACCGCCACTGCTCATCCAATGCCCCCGCCCAGCCGAACACTGGACTCTGTGCTGGGTGCATGGCGAGCCTAATGTCCTTGCTCCCAGTCTGAGGGACCTGGGAGTGAACACTGACCACACAGGGTGGCCCGGGCTGTGGCAGAGGGAAGCCCAGGAGGCCCCAGACTCAGCCGGGGTGGGCAAAGGCTTCCTGAAGGGGTGGGGGCTTCCCAACTAAACAGGAAGGAGCCAGCCAAAGCATATGTCTCTGCGTGTGCCTGTGCATGTGCTGTGCGTGTTTGTGTGCCTGTGTGTGCATGTCCCTGTGTGTGTGCGTGTGCCTGTGTCTGTGTGTGCATTTCCCTGTGTGTGCCTGTGCCTGTGTGTGCGTGTGCCTGTGCTGTGTGATTTCGTGCATTTCCATGTGCCTGTAGTGTGTGCAGCAGCTAGTGAGTGGCAGGCTGAGCCAGTAACACTAATCCACCCTATTCCAGGGCTCACTCTCACGTGTAGACTAAAGGGGACCCCATTTTAGAGGCAATTGGCAAAGATGCCCATTTACCCCTGCTTCTCTGCCTTCTCAGCCTTCCAGGCCCATCAGCCCGGCTTTTTCTCCCACTCCTCTGGGCCCTGGGTCCAGAGCTCCTATACAAGGAGGAGGGTGTAGCCTTGGAAAGACAGCCGCCCTTGGGGAATTCCAAGGGGGCCTCCCTGTGGGAAGCTGGCCCGCGCTGACAGCATAGTCACGATGAGGCCCAGAGGGCTGTGCATGGGAAGGAGGTGAAGGAGGGCTGTGCATGGGAAGGAGGTGAAGGAGGCCTCTGCCCCTCGACCCCAACCGTGGACTTTGGCCTCTCAGGTACTACTTGGCCCTTTCCTTTCTCCTGGACAGGCGGAGTGGGTGGCAGGCTTGACCAAGAGAGATAAAGGCCTCTTCTGGGAGGCCCGTCCCCCTGGGTCCCAGGCAAGCCCCTGGGCAGTGAGCAGCGTCCCTCTGGGCCTGACACTTGGCACCTCCCTGTCTGGCTGGGACTTGGGAGGCCACGGGGACCACTTCTCACCACCAGGTGTCACCAGCACTGGGCTGAGGCCTCCCGGGCAGCCCCAGGCCTGCGGTGGGGAATACGGGGCAGGGTCTTAGGGCTGCCCCACTCCTCATGTTGTTCTAAGGCCCACAAGATCTTGCCCCTGGACTGGAGCGCCCTGGCCCCTCAGCCCATAAGGAGCACTGACGCGACGCCGGTGCGATGCTGAGGAGGGGTCGCGCCTGCTGGGCAGAGGGGTGGAGACACCCCAGGTCTGAGTCTGCCAGTCCCAGCTCTCCACCCCTGCAGGGCTGGGGGCAGAGGGAGCACAGCACCTCCCCTCGAGACACACCCGACCCAGCAAGGCCTCAGCCTGGCTGGCAGGAGCCCCACCCCACTGCCCCTGCCCTGAGCTGGGGTTTCCCTGTCTGTGAACCCAATGGTAAGACACTGGTCCCACCCCACCCTTCCTGGGTGGTGTGAAGATTCAAGGTGTCTCGGGACTCCAGGAAGGAGTTGCTCAGTGCAGGCTGGCACCCTGGGCAGGCTTCCTAGAGGAGGTGCCAGGATTTGGGTTGGATCTTGCAACGTGGATTCAATGTGAGGATGATGCCGTCCTCCGAAATGTCCTTCTCCCGACCTGTTTTCTTTGTTAAATGCAACTTGACACTTGACTGTCAAGTCTCAGTTTTGCTGTCACCTCCTCCAGGAGGGCCCCCCTGACTACAATCCCCCTTCTTTACCCAGAGGCCACCGTTGCCCACTCATGTGTCAGCCTCCCTGGCTGAGACTGAGTTGTTGAGGGTGAGGCCTGGCCAGCTTGGGAGCTAGGTTGTATCTGCTAACCTTGCCAGCTCCTCCAGCTGGGTGCAGGGCTCCAGGGAGGCCACTGGGTCATTCCTAAGGAAGGCTGGAACCCAGGCCTCTGGGGTGTGGGTGGAAATCCAACTCCAAGGGGGCCGGGAACACCCCGAGCCCTGCCCCTCCCACCCACCTTCAGGTCGTAGAAGATGATGTCACCGAGCACCAGGTACACCTTCACGTAGTAGAGGGTCTCCTCGTTGAACTCCAGCGGCGAGTGGCAGAGCTACAGGGCCTTGAGGTAGAAGTGCTCCGCCAGCTTGCCATGGCCCAGCCGGTGGTGCAGGGCAGCTAGCCGGTGGTAGGCCATGTGCTCGTTCAGCCGGTCCCCTGGGTGCAGGCCAAAGGGGCAGGTGTGAGGATGTGGCTCCCTGGGGCAGGGAGGACACATGCCCCTCAGGAGCAGGTATGCAGACCCCGGGCAGCACACCTGGCTTGCCTCCAGGCACCTGTGGTCACCTGGACAGCTCTGGCCAGTCCCTTCCAGGTTCCCAGACTCACTTTCCCATCTGCAAAGCAGAACTAATAAGGCCTGCCCCTGTCTACTGTGAGGCTTATGGCAAAGTCGGACTTGGATGGCCCAGCTCTGTACCTACACATAGCCACCTGCCTTTGCTCACTGGGTTTAACCAGGGGAGCCCAAAAGCCATGCTGTCCAGGTGCTCCCGGACACCCCGGCTCCAGACAACCCACAGATGTGACATCCGACTCCTCCTGGGTGTGGCACGATCACAGCCCCCTACCTTGGGGAGTCAGCTGCACACCTACTGTGTACTGGGCTACGGGGCACAAGGCACTGGGGCATGTGGCCTGCCTAGGGTTCCCTGTCTCTGGAGGGGGACAGACGACCCTGGCACAGCACCAGGGGATGCCTGGCCTTAAGGGGCAGACTGCTGGAAGGGGAACTGGGATTTTATCAGCCAGAGAGCCGTGTGGTTGATGAGGGTGGGAAGGGCACAAGAGAAAGGGAATGTGTCACTCAGCCTGGCACATACAGGGACCAACGAGATGCCTGGCATGTCTGGAAGGCAGAGGGCACACTGGGCGGCCCTTGTGGTCAGCAGCGGGAACAGGCAGAGGAAGCAGAGCTCAGTCAGGCAGGGAGCTCTGCACTGCGTGAGAGACCTCGGGCTGTGCCCCACAGCCGGACGGGGAAGCCAGCTGGGCAGATCTGCCTGCCTGGACAGGAGACCAGGAAAATCCAGCAGCTGTTTCAGCTCCTGGCCTGCAGACCTGGAGGCTGGGCTCTGGCAAAGTGTGGGTCCTGGCAGGGTGGGGCTCAGAGGACTTACCCAGAGTGATGCTGAGTGCTAGGGCCATGTAGGTAAACTCCAAGCCCTCCTGGGACTCCTCCAGCGTGGCCAGGAGTGCCACCAGCTTGTTGCACAGCTGTAGCTGCAGCTCCGCCTTGTGGTTGTCCGTAGTCACTGCCAGGGGCAGGGCCTGGTCCTACCACACAGGCAGGTGGGGTCAGGCTTCCCGCAGCACCCACCTTGCCCACAGCCCTCCTCAGAGCTCAAACATGTACTTGGAGCTTCCCACGCCCCAGCTACCCCTGCACCTCAACACAGCTCTGTGCTCTGGGATAACACACAGTTCAGACACCCAAGTTGGGGGCTGAAGAGTCACCTGAGGCCCATCCAGCTACACTCGACAGCCTCAGACCAGCCTCTCCCACCTGGGCACCGGGAGTCTGACTGGGGGGAGCCAGCACTCCTCTCTGCTCTAAAAACACCACATTTATCTGTGCCCAGGGCTGAGCCACACCGTGAGCTCAGAGGAAGGGAGAAGCCGTCCCACTTCGGGGTGCATGCAGACCTGGGCCTCCCACTGATGCTGTGTGTCCTTTGACATGTCCCTGTGCCTCTCTGAGCCTCAGTTTCCTCATCTGGAAGATGGGGACAGGACTTCCCACTCATGGTTGCTTGAGGTCATCAGGTAGATGGGTAGAGCCATTGTCACGTCCAGGCCCCGAGCGTTTGTCCCGGGCAGGGGCATGGTCAATATTCCTGGTGAGACCACTTGGAAACTAATCATGTATATGGGTGGCCCTGCCTCCAGGTGGGAGGCCTCTACCCTGCCACACCTGTACCTCAGCCTCCAGGTGCCCCACTGAGGCCCACCCACATCAGCCCACAGGCCAGCTCACCCGGTAGAAGGACATGCCTTCCTCCCGCTCCCAGGCCCCATTGAAGAAGATGTCTCCAGCTGCCTCAAACAGCTCCAGCCCCAGGTTGGGGTCGCCTGTGTACAGGTCCACATTCTGTGCCACCTGAAAGGAGACAGAAGTTCCCTCAAGACCCACACCTAGCGAGGTGGCTACGCGCACCTTTGCCAGCCTCCTTCCTCTCACACACTACAGGTACACTTGAGTATTTTTCAGACCCTGCGCATGAGGGCTGCCCCTACCACTGGCATGAGGACAATGAACTGATGCACCTGAGTGCCAGGAGGTGACTGAGCAGCTGCAGCCCAGGAGCCCGACACCTGTGAATCCTACCACCAGGGCTAGCCCTAGCCCACTCCCCCTGCACTCAAAACAGTCTCCGTGGCCCCCAGATTGCTGGGAGCCCAGCCCCTGGCACCTTTCTGCGTTGCCACATCCCTGCCACATCAGCAGTGTTTGTGGGTGGGCCTTGTCCCCTCTTGGCCATGAGCTCTTGATCCCTCTCCTCAGCTCAAGGAGGTATACAGCAGGTACTCAATAATGAAAGCTTCACCAGGCTCGTGGGCTTCACAATTTGTTCCAGATCACACTGTGTTTGGGAAAGCCTCTGAAAACAGCCACTATGATAGATTCATTTTGTAAGGAGATTTGCCACGTGTCGCTTGGAGCAAGCTCTTCTGTGTGTTAACTGAGTGTTCACATTATTTGAGCATGTGCTGTATACCAGCAGGTGCTGGGCACTGTGAGGGGCCGCGCCTCTGCCCTCAGGGAGAAGATGCTGGCCACTGGGGGAGGATGTGAGGGAACCAGTTGGAGGGAGGGAAAAGGCACACAACAGGTGCTCAGCAGTGGCTTAGGAATGAGTGGATGGATGGATGGATGGATGAATGGATGAGGAGATGTAGACACATGGATGGATGGATGGGCGTGTGGCTAGATTAATGCTTGGATGGATGGATGGATGGATGGATGGATGGATGGATGGATGGAATGATGTGTGTATGTCTGTACGTATGTATGGGTGGGTAGATAATGTATGGATGGGTGGAGGGTAGATGATGTATGTACATGTGGATGGATAGATGGTGGATAGACGAATGTATGGGTAAACAAATGGAGAGATAGATGAATGGAGGGATGGATTAATAGATTGATGGGTGGATGGATGAATGATGGATGGATGGACGAACGGTGAATGGATGGATGGGAGAAAGGATGGATGATGGAAGGATGGATGGATGATGGAAGGATGAATGAATGGATGGGTGGATGGATGATGGATGGATGGAAGGATGAACAGGTGGATGGATGGATGATGGAAGCATGGATGGATGATGGAAGCATGGAGAGATGATGGATGGATGGATGGATGAATGGATAAATAGATATGTGGATGTATGATGGATGCATGGAAGGATGAACAGGTGAATGGATGGATGTTGGAAGGATGGACAGACGGATGAAACAACAGGTGAATGGATGGATAGACGGGTGAATGGATGGATAAAAGGATGGATGAATGATGGATGGATGAATGGACGGATGGATGAATGGACAGATGGATGGATGATAGATGGATGGATGGATGGATGGATGGATGGATTATGGATGGATGGATTATGGATGGATGGAAGGATGAACAGATGAATGGATGGATGATGGAAGGATGGAAGGATGGATGGATGAATGGATAAATAGATAGATGGATGAATGATGGATGCATGGAAGGATGAACAGGAGGTGAGTAGATGGTTGATGGAAGGATGGATGGATGATGGATGGATATATGGACGAATGGATAAGTGGATGAATGGATAAATGGATGGATGGATGAATGATGGATGGATGAATGGTGGATGGATGAATCGTGGATGGATGGAAGGATGAACAGGTGAATGGATGGTTGATGGAAGGATGAATGGACGGATGGATGGATGAACAGGTGAATGGATGGATGATAAATGGATGAAGGATGGATGATAAAAGGATGGATGGATGAATGGACAAATGGATGGATGATGGCTGGATGGATGATGGATGGATGGAAGGAAGAACGGATGAATGGATGGATGATGGAAGGATGGATGATGGAAAGATGGATGGATGATGGAAGGATGGATGGATGAATGGACGAACAGGTGGATGGATGGTGGCTGAATGAATGGATGATAAAGGAATGAATGAATGATGAATGGACGAATGGATGGATGGATGGATGGATGGACAGGTGAATGGAAGGATGAACAGGTGAATGGATGCATGATAGGAAGGATGGATGGATGGATGGATGGATGGATGGAAGGATGAGCAGGCGAGTGGATGAATGATGGAAGGATGGATGGATGGATGATGGATGGATGGAAGAATGAACAGGTGAATGGATGATGGAAGGATAGAAGAATGGATGGATGGATGAACAGGTGAATGGATGGATCATGGATGGATGGAAGATGGTTGGATGGATTATGGAAAGATGGATGGAAGGATGGATGGAAGGATGGATGGATGATGGATGGATGGATGATGGATGGATGGAAGAATGAACAGGTGAATGGATGATGGAAGGATGGAAGAATGGATGGAGGGATGGATGAACAGGTGAATGGATGGATGGATGATAAAAGGATGGATGATGAATGAATGGATGGATGGATGGACAGGTGAATGGATGGATCATGGATGGATGGAAGATGGTTGGATGGATTATGGAAAGATAGATGGAAGGATGGATGGATGATGGATGGATGGATGATGGATGGATGGAAGAATGAACAGGTGAATGGATGATGGCAGGATGGAAGAATGGATGGAGGGATGGATGAACAGGTGAATGGACGGATGGATGATAAAAGGATGGATGATGAATGAATGGATGGATGGATGAACAGGTGAATGGATGGATCATGGATGGATGGAAGATAGTTGGATGGATTATGGAAAGATAGATGGAAGGATGGATGGATGATGGATGGATGGATGATGGATGGATGGAAGAATGAACAGGTGAATGGATGATGGAAGGATGGAAGAATGGATGGAGGGATGGATGAACAGGTGAATGGATGGATGGATGATAAAAGGATGGATGATGAATGAATGGATGGATGGATGAACAGGTGAATGGATGGATCATGGATGGATGGAAGATGGTTGGATGGATAATGTAAAGATGGATGGAAGGATGGATGGATGGACGGACAAGGAGGTGAATGGATGGACGAAGAGGTGAACAGAAGAATGATGGATGGATGGATGGACAGAAGGATGAACAGTTGGATGGAAGATGGAAAGTTAGACGGAAGGATGGATGGACGGACGAACAGGTGAATGGATAGACGAACAGGTGAATGGATGGATGGACAGGCGAATGAATGGATGACAAAAGGATGGATGGATGATAGATGGATGGATGGATGCGTGGAAAGATGAACAGGTGAATGGATGGATGATGGGAGGATGAAAGGATGGATGGATGGATGATGGATGGATGGATGGATGGAAGGACACACAGGTGTATGGGAAGATGATGGAAGAATGGATGGATGGATGGATGATGGATTGATGGATAGAAGGATGAGCAGGTAAACAGATAGATGATGGAAGGATGAATGGATGGGTGGATGGACAGGTGAATGGATGGATAGACGGGTGAATAGATGGATGATTAAAGGATGGATGAATGATGGATGGATGGATGGATGATGGATGGATGGATGATGGATGGATGGATGGATGGAAGGATGAACAGGTAAACAGATGATGGAAGGATGAATGGATGGGTGGATGGACAGAGAGTGAACAGCACAGGGGTCCTCCTGCATCCCTTGTCACTCACCTGGATGTACAGGTCCACCAGCTCGCTCTGCCGCAGGATGTAATAGATCTTCCCTGCTTGTAGCCAGGCATGTGCCTCCTTCTCTTTCCTCTGGAGGTCAATGAAAATCCCCAGACTTCGTTTGCTGTAGTCCAGAGCGGATTTGTAGGCCCTGGAATCAGACGCAGGTGTCAGAACAAGGGCTCTCATCCTCCTGGAACCAGTCTGCCTCCTCCCGTGGGTCTGGTGACAGATGAATCTGGCATGTGGGGACTGGGAAAGGCCCTCTCGTGTGTGCAGTGTTCTGCTCTTCCCAGGCTGCTGGGAGGGCCAGGGTGAACTCACACGGCATGGAAAAATGAAGGACATCGTCTGAGGGAATCAAGCATCATGCTGCCCTGTGGCAGGAGGAGTGTGCTAGTCCATCTCCCCTGCCTCCCAGACATGGCCTGTGTCTTCTCCAGATGCACCAGGAGCCGTTAGTGTTCAGAGGCTATCTAGGCCGATGGTTCTCAAGGTGTGCAGGCATCACAGTCACTCGGAGGCCTGACTGTAGAGCTTGCTGGCCCTGCCCCCAGAGCTCCCGGCTCCACAGGCCTGGGGCAGGCCCTAGAACTCCCACTTGCCACAAGCTCCTAGGTGACATGGATGCTGCTCTACTGGTCGAGGGACTACACTTTGAGAAGCATGGCTCTAGCCCACTGGCCCATTTTCCTTCTGTGAACCTGAGGCCAAGACTGGAGCCAGTCTCCCGGGTCCCCATGGAATCTTGATCCTTCCCTGCTCTCTCAGTAAGTCCAACACTCGAGGGGGTGTGACTGCAGCAATGTCACTGGGCCCTGTGGGTGGGGTGGCCAGGGCCATGGTTACCCCACCAGGTCAGGATGCTTGAGGGAAGCTGAGTAGGCCACATATGGGACGTGAGACCTTGAAACCCTGCCCCAGGGAAGCAGGTGACACAACTGGCTCTGTCTTCTGTGGAAGAGAAGCCACAGGTGGCTGCTGTGGTCACACTTAAGGGGACAGATGAAGACCAGGAATGAAGATTCGGGGCAGGCAGAGGTCAGATGACAAAAGTCACTATAGTAGGAAGAACAGCCCAGAGTGCACCTACTGCCTCTGCTGGGGTTGAGATGACCTTTGACCCAACAAGGGAGGCTCAAGCTGGGACTCACGGGCCAGCAGCAGCCCTGGGACGACCCCAGGCCCACCAGCTCAGAGCATCTGATGCCAAGGAACCAAATGATCAAAAGGAGAGGGGCTGCTGGCGCCCTGGGCCAGCTTCCCTGTGCCCCTCTCCCTGCCCTGCCCGCCCCCACCTCTACCACTGCAAAGCCAGCCCTTACCACTCCGTGCCCAGGGACAGGTAGAGCTGACTGATGGTCTCCAGGAGCTGCCCCTCCAGCACCTTGTCAGACACCTTGCAGGCCAGGGAGAGCTGGAGCTCGTGGTAGATGACACACTGGGCCTCGCTGGGCATGACGGCGCTGTATAAGTAGCACAGCCACTGGATGGCCGGCAGCTGGCCTGGGCAGAAGACAAAATGGAAGACGTTAGTCTCCCAGCATCGAAGCAAGGCTGGCTGTGCTCGGAGGCCCCTGCTTGCCTCTTTCACACCTCTGTGAGCCTGGGCCCCATAGGCGGGGAGCCTGAGCGCAGACAGGCCATGCACCCGTGCCAGGGCAGATGCCGAGCACACCGTGACATGGGCACACCTTGGTGCAGATGCTCATGGTACAGGCCGGCCTTCTTTACAATTCCCAGGGCCGAGGTCCTGGCCAGGCTCGGTCCCTGCACCAGGCCATCTATTTCTGCTTCACAAAGCCCCTCTGGCCAGGACCAGGGCCGCCTTCAGCCTGAGCTGATGAGGCCAGGGGCACAAGTAGCCCCTGTCGCAGATGGAACCCTGAGAGCAAAGCCAAGCGTCATGTCTGCCACACATGGCATCATGTTGGGGGAATGGGGTTCAAAGTCGGCCCCTGGTCTTCCCACACATGCTTCTCTCATGCAACCAGGCTCCTCCCAAAGCCAGGGCACTGGGAACGGTGGAAAGCTTCTGATTCTCTAGCGTCAGAAACATTCCGGAGATTAACACCGGAAACCAGGTACGCCGAATGGACATCTGTCACACACACCCCCCAACAACAGCTGAATACACAGTCCTCTCGAGCACCCATGGGACATTCCCCATGACAGACCATGTGCCAGGTCACAAAATGAGCCTCAGTGAATGGAGAAGGACTGAGACCAAAGCAGAGGTGTTCTTCAGCTGTACTGGCATGAACACTCGAAATCGACAGTGAAGGAAATGTGGGAAATTCAAAAATATGTGAAAATTACACACTCCTAAACAACCAGTGAGTCAAAGAGACCATCCGGGAAACCGAAAACTAATTTGAGAAGAATGTAAACAAATGCACAGCCCGGGCCAGCGCGGTGGCTCACGCCTCTCATCCCAGCACTGTGGGAGGCCGAGGTGGGAGGATCGCTTGAGTCCAGGAGTTTGAGATCAGCCTGGGAAACATGGTGAAATCCTGTCCCTATAAAAAAAAAAAAAAAAAAAAAAAAAATTCAAAAATTAGCCAGGTGGGATGGTGCACATCTGTAATTCCAGCTACTCGGGAGGCTGAGGCATGAGAATGGCTTGAACCTGGGTAGAAGTTGCAGTGGGCCAAGATTGCACCACTGCACCCCAGCCTGGTCAATAGAGCAAAACTCTGCCTTAAAAAATATATATATAGCAGTGTATCAAAAATTCCAAGATGCAGCTAAGGCAGCGCTGAAAGGGAAATTTATAACTGTAAATGTCTACATTCAAAGAAAGAAGAAAAATCTCAAATCAAAAACCTAACCTTCCACCTTGAGAAACTAGAAAAAGAACTAAACACAAAGTGAATAAAAGGAAGAAAATAATAAACGTGAGAGTGGAAATGGGAAGTAAAAATACAGAGAATGGAAAAACAAAAGAGATAATCAACAGAACCAAAAGTGGATTTTTTGAAAATAATAACAAAACTGACAAATCTTTCACCAGACTGACCAAGAAAAGAAAGATGGGACACAAATGACTAAAATCAGAGACTGAGCACCATGGCTCAGGCCTGTCATCCCAGCACTTTGTGAGGCCGAGTTGGAAGGTTCGCTGAGGTCAGCATTCAAAACCAGCCTGGGGAAACATGATGAGACCCCATCTCTAATAAAAATGAATAAATAAAAAATTAAAAACCCAAGTTTCTAAAATCAGAAATGAAAGAGGAAACATTATTGCCAACCTGACAGAAATAAAAAGATTCCATGAAAACACTACAAACAATTGTACACCAAGAAATCAGACCATCTAGACACAACAGCCAAACTCCTAGAAGGACACAAACTACCGAAAATGACTCAAAAATGACTCCAAGTAAGCATGTGGGGTATCAACCCCACCCTCGGTCTCCTCGACCGTTCAGCTCAGGGTGGGGAGACAGGGAAGCATGATTCCCGTTCCCTGGCCTGCATTTCCAAGTCTGAATCCCCCAGCACGCCGGGGAGGGCCTCGTAGGAGGAGGTGCCACAGGCTGTTGTGCCAGGAGCAACAGGAGGCTGCAGTGGGGGCTGGGGCGCTGGGTTCCTGGAGGGTCTCCTTCCAGTCAGAGAATGCCCCTGGGGAAGAAGCCTGGGTCTGAAACCCCCAACCCTCCTTAGGCAGATGTGTGGGACCGGGGCCCCTTCACACGGTCCTTTCCAAAATCTCATCCCTCCTAGGGCCAGGAGTGGGTGCCAGGCCTCTGCTGGGAAATGGGCAGGTTTGGTCACAGCCCCTGGGGCTCTGGTCCAGGCCACAGGAGGCACCTCTGAGTGGTCTCACTATGCCATGACAAAGCGCTGCAAGGCAGAGGGGACTCAACAGTATCCCTTGTCTCAGCCATTTCCCTGGACTCAACTTCCTCATCTATCCTCTGCAGCCTAGATTTCGGACAGCCCTGCCCACCTGCTGTCCGTTCACTGCTCAGTCTGCAGTGACTGTTCGATAGCACCCCATGGCTCCCCAGTGCTCTTGGGGAAAAGGCCAAGCCACAGCCTGAGGCCCCAGGCCCTGCTTAGCTCTCCAGAAGAGCTTCTCACCATCCAGCACCTAACCCACCCACTCCCAACTCTGCACCTCCCTGCATAAGCCCTGCTCACTCACCCCTGCTCACACCCCACTCATCCCTGCTCACACTCCCGCTCACTCACCCCCTCACTCACTCCTGCTCACACCCCAGTCATCCCCGCTCACACTCCCGCTCACTCACCCCCGCTCACTCACCCCTACTCATCCCCGCTCACACTCCCGTTCACTCACCCCCATCACACCCCGCTCACACCCCACTCATCCCCGCTCACACTCCCGCTCACTCACCCTCGCTCACACCCCACTCATCCCCACTCATCCCCGCTCACACTCCCACTCACTCACGCCCATCACACCTCCACTCACTCACCACCACTCACACCCCACTCATCCCCGCTCACTCACCCCCACTCGCTCACCCCTGGGCCTTCACACAGGCTACACCTCCAGCCCCTCCACCACCACCAGCCCCTCATCCACCACCTATTACTTGACTAAATCCTCTCAACCCTCTGGTCCCAGACTAAAGAGGCTTCCCTAACCCGGGGCCAAGTGCTGCCCCGCCATCACGTCACTCACCCTTTTGTCGCTTCTGTGGCCTGAAGCTCACATTCCCACGCTCAGTCTCTGCCACCTGAGGACCCCACAAGCCCCATTTGTGGGTGGGGCCTGGCACACTCTGCACAACAAGCTGCTTTTGCATGAAATGCTCTGTGGCTTTGGGCAATCACCCGCCCCGTGTCCTCTGTGAAGTGGGATGACAGGTGCGCAGGCTGCCGAGATACCAAGCAGATAACACAGGCACAAGAACTGGTGTTCAGGGCCTGGCTCATGGAGGGGCCCCAAGTCCCAGCATAGCAGAGCCTGCCTTGATCCCAGGGTTATGTCTAGGGATTCCCAGCACGCAGGACTTTCAATGCTCAAGGCAGGATGGTCCCTGGGCAAACCAGGAAGAGCTGGCTGCCTCAGTAGGGCACAGAGGGCCTGGCCCTGCATGGGAACCGCCTGTCTCCAGGGCGCTTGCCAACATCTCCTACTGGCCATGACTCAGCACTTTCGATGGTGGAAAAACCACCACTTGTTTCCGAATCACAAACCCCAGGTGTGCCGTGACCCATGTGGCCCCAGAAGGCTCACAAGAGGAACTGGGGCACTCACTCTCCACGTGGTCCATCTCCACGGTGACCAGAAGAGCCCACTCGTAGTAGCACTTGCCCTGCTGGGCTGGGCCCTGGCGGGTGCAGAGGTGGCCCAGCTACAGGTGTACGTGGGTGAAGTCCCGGCCACACTCCCTGCAGGGAAGCCTCGAGAACAGCCGCACAGCCCCCAGGAGGTAGTGCTGGGCCAGGCTGCTGGCACTCACATGCAGGCACAGGGTCCCGAACTTGGCCAGCACCACTGCCTGGTTCCTCCGCTGGCCCAGGTCCCAAGCCGCCCGTAGGGCGCAGTAGTAGCCCTCGGCTGCCTGCCTCGTCTGGCCTGTCCTCTTCAGAGCCACGGCCACCATGTTGGCAATCACACCCTCCTGGTCCTCGCTGGCCACCACTGCATCCTGGACAGACTGCAGGAAGTTCAGGGCCACCGGGCTCTGTCCATGAAGCACGTGCAGCCAGGCCAGGGCCACCAGGCAGTCCATGATGGCACAGACTCCGGCAACAGCACTGGCTTCCACAGCCTGCGTCATGAAGGTGACGGCTGGGCCGTGGTAGCCACGGTGGCTGTACGGCTGGGCCAGGCTGGCGTGAAGAAGGCCGCGCAGCGCCTGGCCTGTGTCCGGGGTTAGGGAGGCCAGCGCTCGCCTGAGGTAGTGGGAAGTCTGGGTGGGGAGGCTGTGGGGCTGGAGGGCGTTCTGGAGCACCAGGTTCACGCTTCTCAGCGAGCCGGCCAGTGAGTCCTGTGTCCTCAATGAGGCCACCTTGACACAGCTCAGCACCAGGTGGGGCAGGCACTTGCGGCCAGGAGTAGGAGCCAGGAGTAGATGTCAGCCAGCAGTAGGGAGCAGTCTGAGAGCCACGCAGCCTCTGGGGCTCCCGAGTCCCTGTGCAAAAGCAGCAGCCGCTCCAGGAAGGGCAGGGCCTCCTCGGGCTGCTTGAGGTGCACATGCTGCCTGGCCAACTGGAAGCAGGCCCGGGCCTTGGCCTGCAGGCTCTGGCCACCCACCGCCTGCTGCGGCGCCAGCTGCAGGAGCTCTCCCTCCACCTCGGTGCTGCAGATGTGGCCGGGCGTCCCCAGAAGCAGAGTCATGGCTTTGGGAACCACCTGTGTACACTTCTCCGTTCTGCTTCCGTTAAATGCTGGCCAGGTTGGCGTACACAGCCACCACCAGGAGCAGGTCCCCAAAGCTGCCCTCCAGGGCCCCCAGTGCTTCCTCCAAGTACACCCGGGCCTGGGACAGCTTGAGCCTCCTGCTGCACAGCCGCCCCAGGAGGAAGCAGAGTCTGGCCAGGGCCATCAAGAGGCCAGCTTTCTTGGCTGCCCCTCGGGCCTGTGCCAGGCACCCAGTCAGCTCCTCCTTGTCGCTAAAGCTGCAGAACATGCTGCTCAGCCATAGCAGTGCCAAGTTGTACAGGCCACGGAAGCTGGCCTTGTACCTGAGGGCGTTCAGGAACAGCAGCAGTGAGCTCAGGGCCTCTGAGTCCTCCCAGTTATCCTCAGATTCCAAGAAGAAGGAGGGCTCCTCAGGGTCCTGCAAGCTCACGTTGCTGGATGTTGCACAGAGTTCCCAGGACGCTGGCTCCTGGGGACAGCCTGGCCAGGTCTTGCATTGTTCCAGAACATTCTTCACCTTCGGCAAGGTGTCCTGTGGCTCCAGGCCCAGGCAAGGTGGAGGTATTTCTGCAAGTCACAAAAACACCTAGACAAATTAGAGTCCAGCAGTGAGTCCTTTGTCCACTGGGGGCAGGGTCCCCACATCCCCACCCTCTGTGTCTCTGGCGCAGCTTGCCATGAGCCCTTGAGAATTATGTGCAATGCAAACCCGGGCCTGGAGCACATAGAAACTCCGGCACTATGGGGACAGAGAGAACACTCGGGCCCGTGGCCCGACTCTCCTACAAAATCACCCTCCTATCCTGCTTTGTCACCCACCTGACAGCATGGATTTAGGAGACTATGTCAGCTCTGTGATCCCTCAGAGCATTCTACCTTCCACTCAAACATTTCAGAAAAAAAAAAATTATATCCACAGAGAGAGAAAAAGAAAGTAAAAATGGGGTGAAATGTTTGGGGAATCTGAGGGAAGACCATACGGGAATTCTCTGTACTATTTTTGCAACTGTTCTATAAGTCTGGATTATTTAGAATTCAAGAGTTAAACAAAGAAAAAAAAACACACTATCTCCCTTTGTGAATCCATCCTGTCTTTCCCCTGGCAACTTAAGGACGCTCTCAACTAACACATCTGTTTTTTCATAAACACTAAAAGAACCCTTGCCTAGTTTTGACTTTCTGTGCTTGGCAGAAGTGTGTGTGTGTGTGTGTGTATTTCATATATATGTGTGTGTGTATATATGTATGTGTGTGTGTTGTGTATATATAGAGAGGGAGAAATATATACGTGTGTATATATATAAATCTATATTGTATATTTACTATGGTAATATGTATATCTGTGTGTGTGTGTGTACATATATTACATACCCCATAGCCTGTCCTTAACCAGTTCTAAACTTAGTGGGAAAAATACATACCTAAGCAGAGAATTTCAAAATAATATGATGAATGTTTTGATACAGGGATGTGTTGCTATGGAACACGCTGCTAAGACACAAAACCTCCTAGATGGGGCAATGAATGAACGAAGTTTTGCACCTGTAGTCACCCCCTCTGATATCCCCACAAATGTTTATAGTTATATGCATTTGCTTCCCCCAGGGCCCCCGATTCATAAGGGTTAGTCCTAGAGCCTAGCAAGTTCCTACTACAGCTGGAACACATATGCCATTCAAGAAACAGTGGCGGAGTGAATGACGAGTTAAGAACAATTTGTCAGCCAGTGCTCAGTAACACAACATACACTGGTATGCAAATTATATTTTTGTTGAAAGCAAGGGCAGGATCACAAATTATCTTTCCAGAGAAAGCAAACCTCAAAAGCTTCTTTACCCTACTAAAGCACATTATAAGAAGCTCCCCTTATATAAAAGAAAACCTCCTCGTTCATTATCAATGGCGTGTAAACCAATAAGCCTTCACCTGTGATGACATCTCTTCCATCCCCAGGGCTAGATAAAGGAGGTTCCGGAAACCCTGGTAGTTGTGAAGGCAGCTCCCAGCTCTGACACTCTTGAACCCTGCAGGCGCGGAGGTCACACAGCAGAACAACCGAGGGAAGCATCATCAGGCTTCGAATATGTTTGAACCAGAGACGGCAAATAGGCTTCAACCAGCTGAAGACACCAGAGATTCATGGTGGCCACCTGAGGGGTTGTGCTCTTAAAAAACAAAAATTAAACATAAAACTAAAAAATTAAGAAAGGAAGGGGTCAAGAATCCATCAGGTCTGACTGAGATGCGTATCAGTGACTAACACCCCGTAAGGCAAAAGTGCTCTGGGGCGCTTTGGGTTCTTTTCAGCAGTATTCAAAGGCGTGTGCTTCCCTAAGACTAAACCATGGAATACCCCTAGCAACACTGCCAGGAGAAACGTCTCCCATGGATTTGGCTAGAAATACAGTTGTCTTTAACAAATTAACACTGAATAAATCCTGACTTATTAGAGCCTGCGAGAATGACCTTCTCAATGATAACAGTTATCACTACAATCTCCAAACATCTGCGATCCTGCAAGGAGGAACTGTGACAGTGCAGGCCACATGTCCAGAATGCTTCCCAGACTGCCTGTTACAGAATAAAAGAAATGAAACCCCCCCTAAGAATGTCTTCTCTCACATTTAGCCAGTTGTTCCTTTGTGTGCATCTCTGTGCTAAAATGGCCATTCTTCCCCACAGCCTGAAGTCATATGCTACAATAAATGAGACTCACATGAAACCAGAAACGTGCAGATGCGAGGAAACCAACACAAATGAAATGGGCTGGAGAGTGTGGCCAGGAGGATTGTACTTCCCAGGAAGCAATTACTTCATCTCTGCCCATGAGGCAGGCAGCTGTCACTGTCCCCCAGGCCCACACCAGCCACTCGAAGTACGTTCTAACCAAACTACCTCCAACAATCAACATCAATACACCACATAATTGGCTTCTGAAAGGACACCTTGCAACCAACAAGAAACTGTTAGCAGAACTTTGAAAACCTGTGCAACTAAAAACCTTGGAAAGGGATAAACACTGCCACATTTTGACTCAAATACTGTTACGGGGTGGCACCGCAATAATTCACTGAAACAAAAGAATGAATGAGGAATACTTTTATATAGGAATCAGAGGAAGCATTACTAAACATTTAAAGAAATAGGTAAAGAAACTGCTAGGTTCAAATGCTACCGTGAGACACTGTCAGGGCCTTAGGGAAATTCACTTCTCTTGGTCCTGTTTCTAGGTTCATCAAAAACCAGCTTTGGACTAGGGAATCTGTTGCTTCCCAAAGCCTTCCTTCTATGATTCCAGCCCAGATTTTAGGACTGCTCTCCCACTTGGTATATGAAAGCACTTTCTAGTATAATAGCAAGAGTACATTTCTGTGTTGAATGCGGTTTGGGACCTACTGAAAGGAATGAGGCACATCCCCCATATATCTCCCAACTTCCTGAGCCCAGCACACATTCCTCCATATTTCTTTCAAACTTCAGAAAAACATCACCTGGGAGATCTCCGATAAGGAATGCTAAATGTATAATGTTAACCAATTGTAATGCTGTAACCAAGAGAATTACCTTGTTCCCTGTAACTTTACATATCCTGTTTACATCGGGCTATAAAAAGCAAGCACTCGCATTGTTCGAGGCCCTCTTGTATGCTGTGGAATGGAGGGACCAAGTTCGAACTTGTAGTAAAGATCCTTGCCGCTTCGCTTTGACTCTGGACTCTGGTGGTCTTCTTTGGGGAACAAACGGTCTGGGCATAACACTACTCTATGAGGCAGAATATCACCATGGAACTTTAAGCATGATGACAAGGCGCACTCTAGATAAGAATAACACATAAGATGTGGCCATACACCTGTGCGTGCCTGGCAGGGAGATGGAGAAGTCTCACTTAATGAAGCCGCGGTGCCTGTTGCACCTGAACATCCTCAGTCCACGTCAAGTTCACAATGTCCTTCTGACATCAAACCACATGTATCCCATACTTTTCCATACTTTCTACCCAAGATTAAAATATGCAGAGCACCGTGATAAAGACGCCTCCATCCCCAGCATGTTGGCTCTCGTTCTGTAGAATTACGTACTTGAGGTACAAAATGATCACCAGGCTGCAGCTGCAAGCAAGACTGGGCTCCGTGGGGACAGCCACTCCTGTCGCCACAGTCTGATGCAGCTGCAGAGAAGCTGTGGCTGAGGCCATTCACTTTGTGAGAGAACCACACAGGAGGGAAAAGGTAGGGGAGGTCGGGAAGAGGGCAATGTCAGGCCTCTGAGCCCAATCCAAGCCACCGCATCCCCTGTGACTTGCACGTATACACCCAGATGGCCTGAAGTAACTGAAGAATCACAAAAGAAGTGCAAATGCCCTGTCCCACCTTAACTGATGACATTCTACCACAAAAGAAGTGAAAATGGCCGGTCCTTGCCTTAAGGGATGGTATTATCTTGTGAAATTCCTTTTCCTGGCTCATCCTGGCTCAAAAAGCTCCCCCACTGAGCACTTTGTGACCCCCACTCCTGCCCGCCAGAGCCAGAGAACAACCCCCCTTTGACTGTAATTTTCCTTTACCTACCCAAACCCTATAAAATGGCCCCACCCTTATCTCCCTTCCCTGACTCTCTTTTGGGACTCAGCCCGCCTGCACCCAGGTGATTAAAAAGCTTTATTGCTCACACAAAGCCTGTTTGGTGGTCTCTTCACATGGAGGCGCATGACAGGCAGGTGCAGAGCCAGGGAAGGACCTGTGATGAGAACAGAAAGGAATGCGCCTCCCTGTACGCACACTCGGATTTTATGACAATGTGGGCATGGGGCTGAACAGGATGCCTGAGAACATGCCTCCAAGTTCTTTTGCTGATTTTCTAAATATTGGTGTAAAATCTGAACTCAGACAAATTTCTTTTTCAATCGTTTCAATCAACATCTTTGGTGCTCAGCATCATGTCTACATGATCATCTAGAAAACCAACTTCTGTTCTAAGGCTCACATCTTCCTATTAAGTCCCAGGGATTTTACAAGGGAATGCACCTCTCATTCGCATCAAGAACACACACAACTACCATTCAAGAAATGCTTAATTTGCTAACATAATTTTTTAAACACCCAGATTTGAAATACAATAGAGAAGACAACTTTTTGATAGCTCTGCTTTCCAACTGCGAACTGCGGGTCGAGAAAATAACCTGCCATGATTTCTAACCAGTCAACAACCTGTCTTCCCTGGCTGCAGTAGGAGCAATCTTTCTGAGCTCAGGATGAAAAAGAACCCAGCTGTTCAGGGGACAGATAGTCATCAGTTCTCAGCGGGCTTCCTGGGTCCCAAATCCCCATGTGATACGTGGAAGTAAAAAGCTATCAATGACCAAGCATCTGAACTCTTATCCCACCTCGACATCTGCTTCTCCTGCCATGTAAATTTAAAATTAATAAGCCTGCTATTAGAGAACAGAGTTGGTACTGCATCTGTCTTCCTAAAATTATGGATAATTACCAGCCCACAATAGCTTCTAATCAGATTTGAGTAGTCCCTTAGATAGGAAGCTAAAGTGCATCAGCCCTAAACTGAGAAGAAAACAGAAACTGGAATGTTCTAGATTTGATTTTCTCCCCCTTGTTCTAAAGTTGCTCTTCCCGAATCTCCTTCTACTGTCTTGTTTATAAAATGTATGAGAAACAGGGAAATTTAAAGACATGATAGAAATGGCCACTTTTTCTAGGTACAAACTCTGTGAACATTATTTTCAGCTGCTGGGCTTTTTCTCCACAAACTGTGAGCCTGGAGGACATTTTGCCCCTCGTGGTTACACATTCAGAGTCAGGGAAAGTGGCTTTAGCAGTAAAGAGGGGAGTGCACTGAGAAGTGACCGGACATTGAGAAGGGCAGACAGGGACTCTACCTCGGTGGCCTGCAGCACTCCTGGGCCTCGGCCTTTACTTTTCTATCTGTACAAGGGATCTAAAGGCCCGTGATTCTAGGCCATGACAGCTCTTCATACACACACACACAAACATCACATGCCTATGTGAAAAGCTGTGACACTTGGCTGATTTCCTGAAGAAGTTATCTTGTATCATTTCTACTCATGTACTCCACCTCCTTCCAGACAAGTATCTGAGGATGATGGGCTATCCCACAGCCATGTGTGTAACCTCTGCTGCTTACGATCCCTGTTCACATAGCATTTTCCAAAAGCATATGGTGTGAAGTGACAGAAGAAAGAAGAATAAGGTTCTTTCAGCCCATTCATTCATTCATTCATTCAACAAATATTGACTGACTATCTACGTGCCAGGCACTGGTGATATAACAGGGAACATATATTTTTGTAGGTAGAGACAGACAACCAAAAAGTATGTTAAAGAGTGATCCATGCTATAGAGGAAAATACACCAGGAAACAGGAAAGAAGAATACCCCTAGCCACCCTACACTGGGGTGACGCTAGTGTTTACAAAATGGAAACAGCGGCAGGGTGCGGTGGCTCACACCTGTATTCTCAGCTCTTTGGGAGACTGAGGCAGGCAGATCACCAGAGTTCAGGAGTTCAAGATCAGCCTGACCAATATGGCAAAACTCTGTCTCTACTAAAAACATAAAAATTAGCTGGACGTGGTGGCACACACCTGTAATCCCAGTTACTCAGGAAGCTGAGGCACAAGAATCACTTGAACCTGGGAGGCAGAGGTTGGAGTCAGCCGAGATCATGTAACTGCACTCCAGCCTGGGTGACAGAGCAAGACTCTGTCTCAAAAAAAATAAATAAATAAAAATAAAAATAAAATGTAAACAGAGAATATGATACCAAATGAAAGAACATGAACGATTAATTGTAACAAAAGCCTTTGTAAGCTGATACTTTCCTTCCTGGATCCTTGTCCCTTACAAATGGAAAAAAAGAGTGGGTAGGGGGTAGCATCAAAATGATGTTTTAAGATGGCTTGGGGTTTCAGATGTCTGACAGCCATACTCATGTACTTCAAGGAAAAAGCTCTAGCTCTATAAGCCATCTGGGCAATGGTTTAATGTCTTTTTCTTTTTTTTTCCCCCAGAGAGTTTTTAAAATACAGGAAAATGTATGTGTTTATTTGGCTGCTCTGTGCCCGCACACGTGCAAACTGTGCTAACAGGTTTTTCCATGTTTTGCTGAATTTGCCAGCTTGCCATAAACA